TACCTTTATTAACTTATTTCTATGTATTACGATCGTTGTATATGCCCGAAAATAAACGTATTTTTGATAAACCTAATAAATTTGTATCAATACTTTTTTTTTAAATATGCTTTCAGATCGTCGGTGGAAAGATTTTCGGAGGAGGAATTCGAGGTCAACTTCCTTCGTGCAGTTACTCCATTATTTAATGAAACATAAAATACATTGTAATCGAAACCAATGGATGATTTTATTAAATGACTAAAGACGGAATGAAAAAAAATCTTTAATTTTTGACACATTTTTATCGACATGCGTACATATTTATGTGCATAAATGTCAGACAATTAAAATCAAGCATATTAGAGGCATTAAAACAGCCAATTGAATACATAACTGATAAATGTTTTTATAACTTTCTTACTTGGGCTGGATGTCCTCAAAAATATATGTCTGACATCACCGCAATTCAGAAAATGCGATGGACGGGACACGGCTGCAGTGTTGCCGTTGTGCGACTAAAGGAGCAATTTGGCCCTTTTTAAGCGCCATTACCCTTTGACCCGACTTTTTTAAAATTTAGATTTTTTTACCCTTTTCCAAAATTATGTGCGACTTTTGCCCTTTTTCAGAGATTTTTAGAAAATGTTAACAGAACCATGCTATGAAAATATATTTCCTCCTGTGCAGTGGCGTAGCCAGGATTTGGCTTTGGGGAGGGATGAAAAAATATTTCCATCGATAACTTAAATTTGTGACACACTATGGCTAGAGGCGTCGCCTGAGTGAATTCTTTCATATATTTATGTATGTGCCAGTTTTACCGTTATATACTTTTTATCTATTCGTTTATTCCATGGGATATTCATGCTTTATTTAAATTTAAAAAATTAAATTACTATACCGTTTTAAAAATCTGAAAATTCACTGCGGGAAATTTTTTTATTCTCTTTTTGTCTTCGCCTTCTCGTTTTTATATTATTTTTGAATTCATTTATAAGTTTATATTTAAGTTTATTTATAAGTTTATTATAAGTTTATTTATAAGTTTTGAAAAAAGGTTTTGAACGAACCATTATATCACATTCCTAGGAAGTTTTGAAAGAATATTTTCGATACTAAATTTTATTAAAACAAAATTTCGAAATCAGCTTCATATAGAAACAGTGTCATCGTTAATTAAGAAAGAGATGTTCTTAAATATCATAACTTTACGACACTCACATACTGACTAGATTTGACTATTTATTTTATTATATTTTAATTTGAATTATTTGTTTATAAAAATATAGTTTATTCCTTAACAAACACTAAATGAAAATAAGTTTAATTTTTGAACAACATTAAAAAAAAAATCGACAAACTTTCGTAAAAATTTCGAACTTTCTATTTCAATTTTATCTCTTAATATTTTTCAAATTTTAAGTACCTGTGTTTTACAGTTGATGTATGGCATATTTTTGACGATGTCGGTAATTTTCTTCCATATTATCTAAGTATGTTCGTCGATTTTTTGATGAAGAAAATGAGCAACACCTTCATCAAAAAAAAAAAAATATTAAAAATCAACGATAAGTCGCAGCTATGTATTTTAAACCAGAGTTGGGCATTATTCGAATAAATTGTTATTTAGATAATTTTTCGAATAAAATTTTATCCGTAATATAATTATTCGCAGATAACTTATTCACGAATAAATTATTCGCAAGCAATTTATTCATTTTATTTATTTTAAATAATGAATAAAAACTAATTTTTAACACATTGAGCCAC